TTTACAACTCCATATTTAAGTTATAAATTATGTTAAAAGACAAATCAACGCTAATAACCCTTTCAAAGTATCGAGAAACATGATGAGCTGATAAAAAAAGAATTTAGGTATTAAATATTAGATATTCTTTAAAATACAATGATAATAGTGATTACTAATAGTTAATTTAAGTTTATTGGATGAATATTAATGTAAGTAACATATATGAAAGATAAAAAATTTGAAGCATATATAAAAAAATTCTAAGTGTTTCGACTCCAATCTCATCTAAGTCAAAGGATGTTTAAATTTAATATTATCAATGTTTTAAATTTTAATATTTTTTACTTTATACTTTAGGATGCTCTAAAACCTCCAATGACTTCCACAAACTTTACTCCACATATCAAACAACAAAAAGTCTTAAGTAATTAAAAAAATAAATTATTTAAAAAAAAAAACTTAATACTTTTTAAAATTTCTCACAAAAGGCACATACTTTTAAAGTTTTTTAAAACGATGTCCTTTCTAAAAATAATATTTTACCCTTTTATTGGTTACTCTATTTGCTTAGCCCAACCCATTAGTCTCTACCATCGTTCTCGTTGGAACTTAGTAGTTTGCGATAACAAAGCTTGCTTAAAGTTCATGGAGGACAACCCCACATGCATTGAAGAGAACGATCAACCCTCACAAGAGAGTTGCAACGAAAGAGGCCAATCTTACATGATATAGGGTTGTAAGTGACGATGAGTCCTTGTACAAGGGTTGTAGGTGGTGGCAAAATGATGAAGATGACGATGTGTTAATAAAAGAAGGGGCAAAACAATTCATAAGACTAGAAGTACTGTTTCAATTTTTTTTTTAAGTATAAATAATCTATGAGAAATTTAGGAAAGTATGAATTTTTTTAGGAATTCATCCAAAAGTGATTGCACAATGACATCGATTCAGTCTCGTGGAATACACTATGGTTTTTTTTTTCGGTTAATAATTTTTTTTTTCTAGAAAATAGATATGCTTCTAACATCATCTTTTGATTTTTTTTAAAATAATATCATTTCTAAATTTAAAAATTCTAAAACTATTCCTCCTTCCTCTCGCTCGTGGTCTATCCATAACTTTTCCTCCTCCTCTCTTGTCATGCCCACTTCCTTTTTCATCCTCCTCCTTCTTTTCAATAATCTTAATATTATTAACTTTTGATATGGACTAATCGAGGTATTATATTCTTTCTCCTCTCTCGCTAGTCTTTCCTCTTTTCATTGTATTCCCCATCATCTCCTCTCCTCTCTATCGTTGATAAGACATTCGAGAGGAACAAAGGAGCATCGAAGGTGACAAACCGAGGATAAGGGCATAGGTGACAACGAGAAAGGAGGGAGAGAAGAAAAGAAACGAGCGATAATTTCAAAATTTTTGAATTTATAAGAAAAAACTAAAAATGAGAATACTGTTTGAAGAATATCTAAAATAATATTTTTCTAAGAAAATTGCACAATAACACAACCAAATATATGAAATGACAAAAAAAAAAGGAGCAAAGAGCATGCATGTACCGATTCACTTCATAAAAGTCTCTCGCAGAGCTGCAGACTCAAAATATAAGATCACTGACACTCATCAATGACCCTTTATTCTCAATCAACCTTAGTTGTCATACATTCCTTGTTGAGAGAAGTAAGCATCTCTTTCTGCTTCTTTCGCTCAAAAACAACAGCATCTGCTTACTCCATGATTGCCATTTATGAGGTCCACCAACCTCAACCCAGCTTGAAGAGGGAGCAGTTGAATGGTCTTCCTCATAGTTTGGCAGGTGAACAGTGAACTCAGCTCTCAAATGATGCATCAAAGAGCTTCCTGAGGTGGGCAGTGTTTGCTTCAAGGTTGGAGAAACAATGCTTGCTTGTAAGCTGAGTGTTTATGTTGATTACATTCACTTTTCATGGTGTTGTTAGTGTGTCTGATTCAAGGACCCAATTTGAAGACAAATTTCTTTTTTGAAGCCTTTAATAACATTAGCATTCCTTTTTCGAATTAAGCAAGTTTGCACAAAACAACACAAGTGTATATTTTATTCATCTGTCTTAAAGATGTCAATTGTTAGCCTAACTAAGTCTGATCTGACCTGATCCATTTAGTTCAAACAAGGCAAGTAGAATCCAATTATTGAGCTGCAAGGACATTTGACCAATATGTTATGTTGGATTGGTATTATTCTGGATATCATAAAATCTATGGTTCCAATATTTAGAATTCTTTAGAGGCATTGAGGTTTGCAAAACTAGTATGAGTCATAACTAGTAAGATTCTTTCAAATTTCAAATAAATAATTTTAAATTAGAGCAGTGCCATAGATAAATTTGTTTGAGGTTGATGATTTAGTATCCATGTGTCATGGGTTGATGTCAAATGTTCCCTACCTATATAATATGGTGCATGCTAATGAACTATTAATGCTCACCATAGCTGGAATATTATAATTTAGAATGACATATATAACCATTTTGAAGAACATATATGTACAAAAAGACCATTTCATTTATTACCTTCCCACAACCTGCTGTTGCTGCATATATAATGTTCATATTTCTTGTTTTGTTTTAGACCATTTTCATTTATTACCCCTTCAACAACCTCACTTGCTGCCATGGGATGAATGATTTTGTTTCTTTCTCTGTTTTAGATTGGTTTTAATCCTTTTAATGCACTTTTTTTTGGGGGGGTTGGTGTCAAACATGTTTGCTTTTTTCAGCTGAAGATTGAGTTTATAAACACATTTGCAATTTATACCCCACAATAGTATATTCAGAGGAGGAAAAGAAATAACAGAGGATTTGTTTGTCCACAAGTTCATATATATTTTATATCCACATGTTCATGCTTATCCAAACAAGTTTGACTTGGCACAAGATGATTCTGAAAGATCAACAACCAAACAAATGTGTTGGCAAATGAAGTTAATTCTCATGCTCAGTTCTAGAGAACCCAAAGTACACAATGACAACAAATGCTGATTCAAATAATGCACCAAATTTAATATGTGTGTGTGTGTGAGAGAGAGAGAGAGAGAGAGAGAGAGAGAGAGAGAGAGAGATATATAGTCGACGGTAACGGTTTAGTTTAGGTTAGG